ATGCTTGGTTGCAGCCTTCTCATGCTTTGCCACAAAAGACTACTGCGCTGGCACTTGTTGTTGTGACCACAGGAGGTTATGTGAGACTATGTGACATGATTGTTCTGTCAGGGCGGCGGCTGCCTTGCGTGACTGGGTGAATGTAGTGACAAAGCATGGCGAGGATGACCTCCAGGTTTCTGTTGCGCAGGTCGGGCTTCACCCAGCTTGCAAGCTCATTTAGCCTGGAACATTCCCGGGACATTAATGAATAAATTAACCCTCTGCATGCAGGCTATTCTACCAGTGCGGCATGGGCGAGTGTCGCTGGCAACACTTCAGCACCTGGAGTGGGTGAAGGAGCTGCAAGAATGGATGCAGAATCTGATGGTCAAAGACTCTGGCAAGCCGCCTGCTGAACGACTATTTGACACCCAGGCTCAACAAATCTGTCATGTTTCCAAATCAGTGGTGTGTGGACTGCCGCAGCTTGTATGACAGGTGGAGCCAGAGCTTGGGGCGCTGCTAGTGGCGCTGCTGTTGTTTACTGGTTCTGAACGCACGCAGCGTGTGGTAGAGAAAGCCGGCTACGCGTTGGCCAAAGCCTGTGTGGCATTGCTGTCAGACCGCTTTGCAGTCTACACGGACACTGCAGATCCTGCTGAGCTTCAAGCCCAACGCGTGCCCAAGCAGGGTGTGGCGCTGGACAGATCAGTGTGGATTGCTGCGGTCAAATTGGTGCTGTCAGGTGAGTCGCGGAGTATTGAGACTGCTTTGCAGAACAAGCTGAACTCTGTGAAAATGTCGGCACCCGCAATCTACAAGGACCGTGCCAGACTTGCGGATAGTTAGTTGCTGCCCTTGCTTAGATCTTTTGTTGACCTGGCAGGGCCACCTGGCAGCATATCTTGGGCGTCTTCAAGTTGACCTGAGTGGCCTCAACTATTATCAGGCGCTTCCTGTGCCATCACCCGAAGGGAATGCTAGCTGCTAGCAGTGAACGCTTGGGTTGCGTGGGCAGGTGCTGTTCGACGCGGGGTCTACAAACCTGCCACGGGCAAGACGTTGTTCGTGGTGCTGTGGGCTCCAGAAGTACAGCGCCTGGTAAGCCTGCCTGGGCAGGTGCCTTTGCAGCAATAGTGCCCGCTGTGTCATGTGTTTGGTGCTGAGCTGCTTCACGCATGTTGCCGTCGCCAGCAAGGACTCAAGGTGAACAGGCCCGGCAGCTTTTGCTGTCTGTAGATGCCCACCCCCCAAGATGTAGCCCTCCTGGCACATCGCTATCAATGGGCCGATCTGTGCCTCTCTGCCGTGACATGCGCGCTGTCTGAGTCTACAGTTCGGAGGAGCCTCTTGTGCAGCGGTGAGGGGACCGACAGTGACTACACGGGCGGGGCTGCTGGGTGGGAGCTGGCGGCTAGATGTCTGGCAAAAGCAGCCAGCAAGAAGTGCTTGCCTGCCAAGTTGGAGCCACAGTCTGTTTGCGCACCTTCGATGCGCGTGGAAATTTATTGTGTATAGCGCTTAGAAGCGCTGAAGGCGTTTCGTGTTTTTGTTTTGCGTTCCTGCTTCCCGTGCCCTAAGGAAATAGACGACCGCATGCAGGGAGCCTTGTTGGACAAGCTCCCGCTACATACCCATGTTTTTCCAAACGCACTGGATGTTTTCGAAGACAGTGACCATGCTGCGGCCGTATTCCGTGCAGACAGCCTGTCTTTCGAGGAGAAAGCAGAGGCGCTCACTTCACAGACCTGCCTACCACGTAGCAGCCATGCCTACTGCCTGCAGCATGACCAATTCTGCCCACTCTACACCGGCGCTTCATCCAGAGTAGGCGGTGTTCCCTGCCAAGACTGGAGCCGAGCAGGCAGCCAGGCCGGCTTTGCCGGCAAGCAGCTGCCATGCCTATTTGGGTATGCTGCGCGCAGCCATGTTGGTAAGAATCCTGTTGTTGCTCTTGAGTGTGTGCCACAACTGCCTGTCTTTGCCGTGAAGATGACCTTTGGCAGTGACTACGAGTGGCCGCTCTGCCGCGTGGTTGCCCCTGAGATGGTTGGCTTTCAATGCATCCGACGAGACAGGCCCCTTAGCCAATTTAAGCTCAACGAAGACAGTCGCCAAATAAATTTGCTTGTGCCTGACCCAGCCAGGCTCTACATGGGCGCTCGGTGCGCCTCTTTGGCCGAAGAGATGAGTTGCTCGGACGCCTTGCTGAGCTACCTGCACTCCTTGCTGCAGCGCGAGCCCCTGCTCAGGCCAGCTGCAGCGTTTTTTAGCTCTAATCAATGAAGGGTCCAGCAGCCTTGCATCTTTGCTGCCACAGGCCTCGAGCACTCCTTTGCGGCGACGCCAGCGATGTGCGTGAAGACTGCTTTAAGATCCGAGAGAGTTCCTGCGTCTCTGCATTGCCAGAGCAGTCAGGGGCAGACATTTGGGATGTGGCCACTCGCAGCGAAATCCTGCGTGCCCAGGCGTACTGGCACAGATACGTGGGCCTGGACCCAAGCAAACGCTGCGAGCTTCAAGACTTAGTCGTGCGCCTGAATGACAATCCAGCCGGAGCGTCAGGGTGGGTGACATGGAGCGCAATCAGTAGACAGATTCCAACCATTCGCCGATCAAGTGGCAAGTTTCTATCATTTCATGCAGGGCGACATCTGCTTCTGCGTGAGTTGTTTCTAGCAATGGGCTATCCGACGTTTCCATTTGCTGCTGCGTCTGCAGGGGTTCCCTATCGGGTTTTTACCCCCAGCGTGACCCACACAGACATGCGCCGAGCATTGGGAAATTCGTTTCACGCCGTTCAGGTAGGAGTCTTCATGTTGGCGCTGCTCTGCTCGACGAAGCTGCAAGGCAGCTGAAAAGACATGGAGCGCACAGGCTTGTGCAGCAGTTTTTGAGACGCAATCCTTGCGCTGCGGCTCCTGTGTTGTCTACGAATGTGCAGCAGCCCTTCCAGACGAGCTCTACTCCGTGTGCTCCTTAGCTTGCGTTGCAGCAATGGCTGCTCCGCCGCCGCCGGGGGCCTCACGTGGTGCAGCGCCGCCCCCTCCAGGGAGTGCAGTTGCTCGCGCTCCTCCAGCTCCTCGTCCCGCAGCGCCTCTTCTTCAAAGCCGCCTGGCTCAGATGGCGGACGCTTCTGGCTTTGCTGGTGCGGGCCACGTGCCAAAGAAACAAGGCTTGGTGCTTGTTTTGCCTGTGTTGTCAATGGCCAGCTTGTCTGTAATTTCTTGCTGCGCTTGTGTGAACAGGCGTGGCCAGCAAGCCTGCGGGCACTGCCGTGCCAAAGGGTCCGGGACGTGGGCCACGCAGTACTGACAAGGGCGGCGGCAACCAACTCAACTTTGAGAACCTCTTCAAAGCACCTCAAGACCGCAAGCTGAAAGTCCTTCGCAGCCTGCACGCCGTGCAGTGGAACGACAAGGTCCTGACCACCCTCAGCAATGACGAGGTGACAGCTTCTTGGACCGCAACATGGCCTTTTGGTAGGTTGGCGACAGTGTTACGCATGTCCGAGTTTTGCGCTGGGGCTCAGGAGTGCATCGCCTATTTGACAGACATGGACCCCTTTGAGAAACCGAGCAGCTCCGACGGCACACGCAGGGGCCTTGTCAGCAACGCGTGACCTGTTGCTGCAGTGTAAGACGCCTGTCCAGCCTCTGTTGTGTCCATGTGGCAGGCGACAAGTACTTCGAGGGCATGGTGCTGGAATATGTCCGGCGCTGTGAGACCGGTGAAGTCCAGGAATGCATTGCGCTTAGAAGTTTGTGCTGCTTCAGGTCACGCATAACTAAGGTAGGCGCAGGTGATTGTCCTTTTTCCCTGTTGCTAAATTGATGTCTTGTTGATCTGAGACAGCTCAAAGAGCATCATCACCTATGTGCGCGCTGTGCTGGACAAGCGTCGAGAGATTCTCGCAGATCTGGTGGTGTATTCACAAGATGGCACGAACTGGTGCATAAGCAACCAAGTCGAGCACAAGTTCCTGCCACAGACCTGGGCCCCCTGGATGCAGACGATCTTGTGGGATTGGAGGACTGCTGGGAGCATGGGTGTCTGAAAGTCAGCTGTTAAGTTCATGTGCGCTTCTGCTGCCTGGCAGGAATTGCAAGCCGTACGTGAGCAACAACCAGGAGACCAGGTACTGTGACGAGTTCCTGAGCGTTCCTGATGGCAGGGTCGAGCCACCAAGCGCGCCAGCTCCTCCTTCACCGCCAAAGATCCCGTTGCCTGGTCTGCCTGGCAGTGAGGCCGGATCTTGGCCAATTATCTTTTTGTTTTTGCGCGAGCCAAGCATAGGGTAGATGTTCCTAGGCAAGCCAGATGCTGCTGAAGCTCAAGCCTCCTGTTGGCGGGCAGCTTGCCAGCGCATCCGAGAAGTCCTTCAGTGAGCCGGCAGAGTTTGAGACCGAAGCAGCGCCAGTGCCGCGAAGCTTTGCAGTGTACCCTTCATCACAGCAGCCGCTTCTGATCCGTCGCGAAGACAACGAGTGTCTGCCCTTGCCACCAAATCCCAGCATGGACTATGTGGTCAGTGAGAATGCGTTGGGCATGGAGATGGTCAGCAGCCCTGGCTTAGGGTGGTCCTCGTATGTGCCCTGGCTGCTTGGTGCCCTTCACCCGCCCTAACATGAAAATTTCCAAGTCGTGCAGAGATGCCATCCCTTTCCTGGCTGAGGTCAGTGAGCTGGACACTGTGCCCGAGCCACCGAGGAAGGTTCCGCGCGTGGAGGCTCGAGCATTTTGTATGTAGCTATTCAAGGTTATTTGGGCTGCGCAAGGTGGTTTAGTTTGGGATCTTCAGGGCCACGCTGGGCACATAACATAAACGAAGTCAATGCTTCCTGCGAGTAATATCTAGCTGGCGTAGTGTCTCTGGCCAGGCCACATCCCAGCTTGTCGAGATGCTGGCAGACATGGAGCCGCGCAACGTGAAACTGGCGCTGGAGATAGCTCTCCCAGACCATCCGCCCGAACATGCTTAAGATTGTCCAGACCCTGGCAGAGATGGATCCCACTAGGAGCACCGCGTTGCTGTCGCTTGCCGAGTTCCTGAAAACTGCTGACCCCCATGCCACATTGGGAGTCTTGACAGCCGCTGCCGGCCTGCCACAGTCCATTTCCCCAGAGATGACACAGGTTGTGAACGTGTTGAGCACGCTGGACCCTGCCAGCACCTTGACGACGCTGACAGCCTGCAGCCAGTTGCCAAACGGCATCTCACAGGAGATGCTGCAGCTTGCCGAGTTGCTGGGCAAGGTCGACACCAGCTCGGTCTTGGAAGCTTTGGGGCCGTTGGTGCACAAGACCCCGCCAGAGGAGCTACCCTTGTCCGGATTGCGTTTGATGAGTGTCAATATGATTGTTGTGTGCTTGTGCGCAGGACATTCAGGAGGACGAGGCCGCCAAGAAGGTAGCAGAGGACGAGGCCGCCAAGAAGGCAGCAGAGGACGAGGCCGCCAAGAAGGCAGTAGAGGCAAAGGAGAAGCAGCGCTTAGATGCTGCAGCGAAGGCGGCCGCGCTGCAGGTGGCAGCTGCTGCTCAGCTACAGCAGTGTGAGTGAGTTTGCGCTGCGCTTGTGAAAGATTGTCTCATTCTGATGATTCTGTGAGGCTGTGGTTCCAGTTGTGCCAGATCCCCCAGGCAGCTCTGCGTGTATTTGTAATGTGTACTGCTCAAGTAGCACCATGTTCTGCGGCAGGCAGCAAGACCGAGCCGCAAAAGGGTGCCCTGGCAAAGTCAACACAGGCGCTCTCACAGGGTTGCAAGGGCGCTGCGTCTCCGCTGCGCTCCCTTGTAGATAGTCCATATGGATCACAAGTCTGCGGCAGTGGCTCTGAGACTCTGGGGGGCACAATGTTGGGGTCCGCTCATTTGGTATAGCTAAGCTCTAGACAGAGGGCACTGAGCTGCGCGTGGCAGGCATTTGGGTGGGCGTGCCTTGAAATGCCGCGGCTTGGGCCAGTGGAATTTGGATGTAGCTTGAATTGTTCTCTCTCAGTGTTTGGTAATTAAAGTTTTGCTCGCCCACGGACAAACGCTCCTCTTTGTGTGGCTCTTTGTGTGTGTTGAGCTGGGCAACGACAGGGGTGACACAGACGACCTAGAATGGTTCATACTCCTGGTTTCAGTTAAGCTTGTGGGATTTCAGGCATAGGGCATAGGGTTCCATTATCACGTGAAGGGCTAGAGAGGGTTTCACGGCAGGTCGTGAAGACTCCTCCTCCGCCCAAGTTGCCGTCGCCTGCTGCCAAGTGAGGAGGTGAGACGGAATCCACCAGCCAGGGTCAGGGTTTTGTTTAGAATTATAAGCCTGGACCATCCTGGGCCAGGGAGGTTTTCTTGGGCTAGGCTGGGGTTGGGGCCGGGTGCAGGGCCGGGTCTGCGCAAGCCTAAAGTTAAGGGGTATGCAGTTTTTACCTGCAAAATACAGGGAAAAACTGCATACCCCCAAAATTGAGGCGTGGAGGTCCGGGGATGTCGGGGCTGGGGCTGGGGGGCCCAAACTTAAGGGGTATGCAGTTTTTCCCTGTAAAACACAGGTAAAAACTGCATACCCCTTAAATTTGGTGTTTTGAACATGTGGAGGTGTGGGGTGACCTGCTGGGCTTGCCTGGTGGGCTTTCATGGCTGTCCAGCGGCCCCTAAAAAGGGTCAGAGGCGTTTTGGAGGCCGCTGTGCTGGTGCTGGTGCTGGTGC